TTGCGAAGTTCGACAAATTTTTGTATAATTTCCACTTTACGCGGGACCTCGTAGAACCTTCAGTGTAGTAAAGGAATTTTTATTGGTTTTCAGTTTCTGGACATAAATCTCTAAAGATCGATGTTTGCATAAAGATCCGCAGTCCAGTAGAAATTATAGGTACGTACACCTTTCGCCTGTTATGCAATCGCTACTCGCAGTTTATTGTTCAACCCTACCCCTCCTCTATTTTACTCCCCCTCAGCTCCGTTGTTTGTGTAATGAAGACGTTGTTATTGTTATTATTATTCATTGTGCGTATGCGCCAGGGTCTGGATCTTGGCTGGGCGTCAATACGACGGTTCTATGGCCAGCAAAATTATTCGCTGAGTGTCGTAAGATACACAGAGAGTCGGCGGTCTCGGGGTATACAGGACGTCTCAAAACAATTGTAAGTCCTTGAAAGGGATGATTCCGGGGGTGATTTGAAACAACTTTTTCCTTAGCGAAAAAGTTCTCCGAGGCTTTGTTAATGAAATATTAACAAAAAACCCCGTCCAATTAGAGCGCGAGTCTGTCAGCTGAGCTCCTGCAGTAACGTTGGCTACGCGCTACCGCGGGAGCTCAGCCGGCAGACTCGCGCACTGATTGGTCGGTGTTTTTCTTTAATATCTCGTTAACAAAGCCTCGGAGAACTTATCCGCTAAGGAAAAAGTTGTTTCAAATCACCCCCGGAATCATCCCTTTCAAGGACTTACAATTGTTTTGAGACGTCCTGTATAATTTAGCTTTTAAGAACGTTCGAAACCGGGTCCAAATCATCTGAGTGGCGAGGCGCCACTGCGAGAATCGGACCGTGAATTTCGGAAAAGAAGAAATTACGACGAAACTAGGTAAAATTTCGTAACACACCCGGGGGATCGTTTACGACGCTACGAGCCGGTTCCATAAATATTATTATTATTGTTTTTCGTCTCTTTGGCTTCTGGTTTTATCGGGTCACTTGGTCAAATGCCGACATTGTAGGGCATTCTTCTTTCTGCCCCGCGTGTTTAACGGTCTAACGGCCACCTAATAGGCCAAAACTGATGGGATAACTTTGAAGGTAATTTTAAAGAAATTTATGCACTTTATTCACGCTTCGCTGGCCGGATGGGTTTAACGTAAGATCATACGCTCAGAGTGGGCTGTATTTATAACATGCACAAAACTGAGATCGGGCACGCATCTTTTTGGGGGAAAATATTGAAAAATATTAAAATTCGCCTGTTTTAAAATGTGACAAAGTAATGAACAACGAAAATTTATTTTAAAAAATTTTTTTGTTTATGTATCAAAAGGTTTAAATAAAATATCAACAAGAAATAAAATGTTGGGGTATCAATAAAAATAAAATAACAATAAAAAATAAAATATTAAGATAGAAAAATTAAAACGATTAATTTCCATCATTTAAGTCATTATTTTACATAATTTAATAATTACGAATTATAAATTATAAATGCATATTCAGAAAAGTTATATTATTATATAATTAAATAATGTTTTAATTAATGTAAATAATTAGTGGTTCTCTTTAATATAATAAATCTTACAACACTTTCCCCTACATAATGGAATTTGGCATTTCGCTTTCTCGAGAACACAAGAGCCCGAAGACAGCTGATTCAACGGTGGTGGTTGTTTATATTAGTCCCGATAGAAAGGCATGGCAATCTCTCAATGGAAAAATACATTTCGGTAATGCACTTAAAGAAACGACACACAAAGGGCCCAAATGGAACCCAGACTCCGTGGATGTTTGTATAACCATCGGAACCGTCCATCTTCGAATGGTCAAGCGAAGTCGAATCGCTCTATGTATTCGCACACACCCCCTGTAGGCAACAGTGGTGAAGATCGATGGTGAACCTAGTCGAACAATAGTGAAATAGGTACACTGATATGTAAACTCAACTGCCGCTAGGGGAAAAAGTGTTATGGGGGAAGAGCCTTTTACCACTTGATAAATTTATTTCAAGAACTGAAATGAATATTAAACAGAATGTTAATTTGGCATACATTTCAATACTTCCCGATACCAAATGGTAGGAGACCCTTCCCCTACATCATTTTTTGCCTAGTGGAAACCGAGTTTGCTCGTGAGGGTACAACCAAGGACTTCTACCGAAACGTAAAATACCGGTATTATACCGATATTTTCAGTCGTACCTTCGCCCTATATAACCCTGTATAAGCCCTACCCTTATAGAAATTGAAAAAATTAGTCCGGCCTCAGTTAGCTTCAACTGTCTGGTCTCCTCAATTTTCAAAATATGAGTTAATATTAGAGAGAGTGCAGCATAAATTTATCAGGTACATTGCCTTTAGACTGGATAATTCTGTGCGGCGTAATGATCACGACTATGAACCTTTATTAAACACACTAAATATGATTTCTTTGTCTGATCGCAGAATTGTCAACGATCTTTCTTTCTTATTCAAGCTTATAAATGGTCCGATCTCATGTCCTCAATTGTTGCAGCTCGTTTACTTTTGTGCTCCTTCAAGGTGTGTTAGAAAGAATCATATATTTTATTATGCTATAGTAAAAACTTGTTAAAATAATGTTCAGGTAATCCAATTTATCGAATCCTGAAATCAGCCAATAAATTCACGAATCTGATTGACTTTTTCAGTGGCTCTATTGAATATTTTAAGGCATCCCTACATAGAGCACTAAGAGCTGTTTAATCTCAGTTAATATTTTATTAAAAATTTCCTATCGCGACTAATTTCATACTGTATAATATATTGTTGTAACTGTTTCTAATCTTATTTTCATTAAATGTTATGTATGTATATTCCCCTTAAATAACTAAATAATAGATCGCGAATCGTGTCTGCGAGATTCTTTTTCATGGTTAAATTCACAGAAACCGAAATCACATGGAAATGTACCTCGTTAACCCCTTAATTAAAGACAACCCTTCTCGTGGACGAATAATCCGACAATGACTTGCTTTTTAACACTTTTTGACATCTAACGGAATGGTAATTTTCGTTACCGTTTTGGAAGTAGCGTACCCGCTTACTGTCAATTGAAGGTACTCGAACGCTAGAGTTTCGGAAATTCTCCGCTAGGTGGTGATAGCGGAAGAAAAATTCAAATTCATCCATGAGACAAGTGATCTGGGTCAAACTCTCTATGACTGGGTCACCGTTGACCCCTCCGACGAACGCAGTCATCGAACTTGATTTATGCGATAACAAGTGTCTCTCTGTGAGATCTTGTTATGGACCAAGATTGACCCAGCCGCCGGCTATGACGATCCGTTACTGGAACTGTCATCGATCAATATTGCTCCATTTCAAGCAAGATTTTGTTCACGTTCTACTAACGGTATTTTCGTCTTTTGAGTATAATATTCTTTTTGTGACTCCTACGAATTTGGTTCCTTGTGTGATCTGCAAAGCGGTTTTACACGGGATACCAAACTGTTAGGACAACCTGTCAAGCCGGCGATTATTTATGAAAAATAAATACAAAACAAAAATACAGGTTTTGGGCAAATCGATTTCGAAGAATCCTCGAGCCACCAGTCCTATGCCTGATTAGTACGTACTTTTTCTACTTACTCTAGTCACCGATGATAATAATAGTATACCCTAATCAATTATCCATCTATCACTTTACACTGAATTATCGTGGACAACTACTGATAACGCATAAAATAAACGAAAATATTAACAAGTTGCTTTTAAACTGAAAATTTACTAAAATAATCTCTGGTAGGTAAACTATTAATCTCTATACAAATAATTTACATAGTCGTGTACATCCACGAAATCTGTATTTACATGACAATACGTGTAATAAATTCGTAATATTGTTATTATTATGTAAGTGAACAGGGACGGGTGTTCCGATTTGATTCGATACTGAAACCATCGGAGTTGCGTAAAATAAGTAGAAGTGTCTTGTGCTGGTCAGACGTATAAATTAAACGACTGTCGACTGCACAGGTATGCGGATTACGTTTCATTATTAACGTCCAGTATGAGAAAATCTTATTATACCTTGTCCAGCTGTTTCTCTTTTTACGTAGAATCAACTGTCAGGTTGTATAGAAAGTTCGGTGACATCTTGAATTTTCGAATTCGAAAATTCGAAACGAGAGTTAACCTCTCACCTTACGCCTTCCCTTCGCGACTGCGCGTCACCTAAGTCACATTATTTCTTAATAATTTACCACAAGAAAAAGGACATCTATGTTCTGTAAATTTGCTGTAACGATTAAGCCACGATGACAACAAAATAATATTTGGTTAGTAAGAAATAAACGGCAGATCACCATACATGTCTCTGGTTTTGAAATTCTATGCAGTTACACAGATCGAAGTACCACTTTAACTACGCAAAGTTTAACCATCCCGTCGTCCCATAAAAATAACTGAAGAAGTTCTACATGCTTTGCATTTATAACAGAGGGGCGAGGGGGGACAATGGTCACCTTCGTACGTTCAAATGTCCATTCATTTTCCACCAAGCAAATATTTCATTTTATTCCAAGCAAAATTAATATCCTGATTCATTTAGTCTCAATAATCTTCACCAGATATCTGACCAAATATTATCACTAAGAAGGTTAAATGTCACCCAGCAATGCAAACGATGAGCGAACAGAAATGTTTTCGACCGAGGATAGAGCCGCGAAATTTTGGAAATAATTATTAATATAACCCGCACATCACTGTGAAACAACGGAACGTCGTGTACTGACAGATCAGTGACAGGGCAGCACATTTTTGGTGGAATTCCGTGCAACGTGCGCGGACTATGACGATTTCTGACAGATTCAAGAGCAAGCAGCTGAGAGTGGTTCCGACTTTATCTGGGTCTGTACGCGCGTTATTCGGGGACAGTATTTGACGCGTGCCGGCACACGGTGCTATAACGAAGCAGCTACTATACGGAAATAGACGTTGTAAGCCAGTAGAAACGAAGCAGCGGGACACGCAAAATTTTTTCACTGACTTACCTCCTCCACTTAAGCACGGTCACCATATCCCCGTGAAGACAAGACGTTGTGCACCATGGTGTACCACCGCATCTTGTCGTGGGCTACCGCGGCGACGAATAAATGCACCGTATGACGAGTAGCGACAATCGGTGACGAAGAGTGACGAGGGGTACACCGTACTACCACCACTTGTTCCACACCAAGCGCTGCAATCGACGTTCGCGCGTCTATCGATTAGGAGATGGACAATGTAGCATAGCTCCGAGAGCTTAGGTGCAACGCGAGAGAACGACTTCACGTTTCTCCATCTCCCCGATGGAACCGAGCGGACGAGACGAGTCTTAAATATGTGTACGGCACATATTGATGCGCGAACGATTCGATGTCGTATCAGAAAATGCCGAGAGAATCGTTTTTATCTGATGTTATTCGAATCGTTCGAGGCGAGACGGTGGTTACGACAGATGGCTACCCACGAACCGTCGCCGATCGTGTATCCGGTAGCGATGACGATACGAATTGTACTACTATTATAGCTGCGACCGCTGTGTCGCCGACAGAGGTATTGTTTGGACTTCAGCCAGATATGCGCCTGCGTCGAGGATTACTGTAATGCTACCCTGTGTCTATCGCGCGTGTGATGAAAACTTGACCTCCACCTATGCCGCCTCGGCTTTCCACTTTTCGCGAGCTTCCGATAGCTCGATATCAATTTTGAATCTGTAGGATAATTTGCGCGTGCGCGTTCCTGCACACCGGATGCGCAGAACGGGCGTATCGTCCTCCGAGGGACCCACGCGGTACGTTCGAATCGATGGCGTTGTTGGTTCGTAATGCGACTGATTTTATGATTGCTTTCGTGATAATTTTTGTAAACTGGCTTATGAAACTGTATATTTGCGAAAACATTCGTAGTTACAGGAATCATGAATAATGTTTATGACCTGGAAGTTATAACTCAGTATAGTGTTCAATGATTCAATAAAAGGTTACTTTCAGTTTTATCGTTTGTCGATGATCTAATTAAAAGTCTAACATATTTACAATCAAAAATCTAGATTACTTATTGGACTTATTCCACAAAAAAGATATGTAGCAACAAAAACCGTAGTATAGGCTACAATAATGAAATGTGTATGGAAATAACAAATAAAGCACAGAAAAATGAATGCTGGCGTCATCTACGACAAAATGTCCAAGCTGCTAGCCAAACAGTATAACAATCTCACTACAAGATGACCCCACCACGCTCATTGGGCGCTCGACTGTAAACAAAATCAAACATTATTACAAAATATCATTAATAAATAGAATAACGAATATTTATTGTTGAACAATATCGATGCCGAAAACTGAAATAAACAATTTGATATTAACACAGTATATTTTTTATTTAATTCAGCCTATATTTCTCTACTTTCTTTCCCATGCCAAATAGCATCGTTCTCCAATAATTAATTAATACACTGTAATTAATTCCTGTTATTGAATAGTATAACTTTGAAGGATTCTAGTAAATAAACACTTCCACCGACTTATGTCATAAACAAGGTCTGAGTTATTCATTCCATACATAAATAAGTAAAAATGTATATAATTTCAAAATTTGACATTTCATTTTAAGACATAAAAAGCAATTGCAATCCTATTTTATTTGTGCTTATTTACTGTTTTATTTGTTCTGTTAAATATACACCTTTTTCATTGAAAACTTGAATGAATAATAAAACGAAATAAATTAATAATAATGGATTAGTGAGATAATATTAAATATAGATATACCAAATTTTATTTACAAGAAAATATATTTCTTTATATTACTCAGACTATTGAAACATAAATAGCTTCATTGATACATAAATAAATATTTCCATGATGTGTATGTCGTTTTGTTAATATAAATGTCAAGATGTTACCCTAGTGTAAGTATTATTTCCTACATGAATGCATATATGTTACAAAATTTGTTAAATATAATACGTATTTATGCACATATTTACAATGTAATTCACGTACTTTTAATATATCAAATGAAATAAATAATTTCTGAAAATCTGAATTTAGTAAAATATGTTAGTTTATACGTAGAGCTGCCTTTTTAGTGAAAATTATAATTAACAATTACTAGATTTTTCTTTAGAATACAACTCTTTAAAAGCTCTAAACTTTTTCATTCAATTTTAAAACAGTCTTTATACAACATTCACTTTATATTGAAATTGCTGTAGCTCTAACAGCTGCACTTAACAAAGGGTTTGGATCCGGTTCTTCTGTTAATATATTAACTTTTACCCATTCCCGTCGTTTATTACTTTGTCGCAGTGCATCGATGACTGCTTGAACGTACAAACCATCTTCAAACGTTGAAGCAGAGAATACTGGTTCCTTTATCCAACCTCTTTTATCTTCTACAGATTGAAATGCTTGTCTCAATGCAGAGATCATGTTTCTTAATCCTTTGACATAAGGTCTTGGAACAGAGTCAGTAATAGAAAAGGTCACATCTTGCAAGTCGTCCGTATCAACATACAACATTTCTTCTTGTCCGTTGCGATAGCCGTATAAGTCACCACCACGTGCAAGAAGATGATTACTACCTCCACATATTAATACCTCTTGGGAAAGCTGACCTTGTAAATGATTGCTCAAAGTTGCTGTTACCAAAGTACCACCACTCAACTCCATTTGAAAGCTACAAAAATCTGGTGATGTAACATGCCTTATTCCATTTATGTGCTTTGTAGTTTGGGTGAAAGTACGAACTACTGCATGTACTCTAGAGGCACGTTGGCCAGTCAAGTGAAAGATTAAATCTATTACATGACTTCCGACCAAAGCTAAAATTCCTCCTCCCATTATATCATCGCACAACCAGTCATATCCTATAAAAATGTATGAAATTATATTCAAAATAAATTTCAGATATTCTTTACAAAGATCCTGCACTTAGATATTAACCATTGTGTAATAAACTGCCCATGTGTACTCTAACTTCTACTACAGTCACAAGACCACCTAGGTATCCTTCCTCTAGAACCTGTTTCATATTAACGAATGCTGGCAAGAATCTTAAACTGTGATTGACAATGCTTATTAAGGAAGGATAATACTGCGCAGCCCGTACCATTTTTAGGGCGTCACTTTGGCTTAAACCAGCAGGTTTATCACACACAACATGCTTTCCAATTCCTAAAGCTTTCACTGCAATTTGTGCATGTAAACTAGGGGAACACATGATGAAGATCAAATCAACATCTTTCCTAAGCAGTACATCATCTATTCGACTAGTATGAAATGGAATTTCAAGATCAGCTGCAACCTCTGATACTTCTGCCAGGGTATGTCCCCAGATAGCTTCAATCTTAAACCCTTTTTCCCTTAAGAACGGAATAATGATCCTCACGATACTCCCGGTACCAAACACTCCAATACCTGGCAGTGTCATATTCAGTTCTGTTAAGTTTCTATTCTCTGGTTCTATTGAACTTTTATCTAGGATTTAATTGAAAACACAATTTAAATAATTCAAAGTAATTTCGTGTTTACTTCTATCGGTATTCTCTGCTTATCTTTCGTATACATAACAAACAGAACATTGTCAAAAACTGTGTATATATAGTATTCAAGACAGAACACGCGTTTAATTGAGACGATATGGGCGGTATTACATGTATCTTTATTTCGCCTTGATATTCTATGAAATTCATATTACATTCGCAGTATAAACGCAGCGCGTAGCCAACGCTACCGCGGGAGCTCAGCCGGCAATCTCGTGCTCTGATTGGTCAAATTTTTTCGTTAATCTCTCGTTAACAGAGCCTCGAAAAACTTTTTCGCTAAGGAAAAAATTGTTTCAAATCACCCCTTTCAAGGACTTACACCTATTTTTGGACAACTTGTATACATCACTGATATTTTCTCTCTCCGAACACCGCTCGATAAAGGGGTATTGTAAACGCACTGTTAGTTTTCATTCAGCCCTTTTTTATCATTGATTTTCCGAAAGAGCTCGAAACAAACCGAGCACCAACGATGATTGTAGCCTGCGCTAACCTGTCAGTTTGCCTTGCGCAAAGATGATAGTAGTCTGTCACGTCCGCTCCCTTCAATTAATTATTTAAACATGTAAATATACCGTCGAACCATACGAATCAGTGGTCACAGTGCTATTTTTTATTTTAAGTTTTCTGTACGAGTGCACGTGTCGCAAGTCATTAACTACGTAAAGAAAGAAATATGTCGGAGATTCGTAAGAGAATTATTGAAAATGACAATCAGGTAAATGGACTTCTATTTCGCGACCAGACTTTGTCTTTAATCGACCGCGTGACAATTTTTTGCCCTGCTATTTCTGCATCCCGGTATCGTTAGCCGTAATTAACTGCCAGTTGACCTTTGTCTTTTATGTTATACATATTAAACGAATTGGATGACGACTGTGACAGCTACTAATGCCAAACCATTACGACTACTACCACTGAGCTGTTGATATTATTTTTATGATGTAGCTATAGAAATGTATTTAGCATGTAAACTGTAGCGATTATACATTTACAATATCTCTCAAGCTTTTAAGAATACGAAAAATTTATCCAGATGGAAACTGCATATTTTTTATGAAATCTTTGATGTATAAGTAAACTTTAATTTTTTAGATGAATCACATATTCGAACTATCCATTTAATTATGCTTTGAATAATATATATGAAATCTATTGTTAATTAATAATTTTGTAGATATTTTTATAAATATTGACAATAGTATAATATTATGCAAAACAATAAAATGAAAAATTTAATGTGTTTTTTCATTTTTATTTTAACAAAATCATTAGTGTAGGAAATAAAACAGTTTACTTTCTGTTTGTATAAATTAATGTATGAAAATGTAAATTCACAAAAATATCTGTAACACTGCTTCCGTGTACACCATTGAAATTAAAATGAATGTAAAGTTCCTTTTAAGAAGTTACGTTATAGATAAGTAAAATATTAATAATATTTTTATAAATTAACCTTCATGAATAAAGTTTTACAATAGTCACTTTTAATTTTAATTTAGAAAAGTATATTATTATACCTACATTTATTACACTGATATTGTTAAACAATTTCCATATTACATTATACAGAAGGAAGATGTGGAGTCTGAGGATGATGCAAAATTGGAAGTGGAAGAACTGGGTAAGACATTACCACAAGGAACCGATCATACTCCACACATTTTGGATTCAGCTCTTTCCGGCTTACCCGATCGGTATAATTCTCAAATTAACAATTCCAATTATTTGACAACGATAAGTGTGAATTGCATATGTTAATGTATGCATTAATGTGTGCGTGATTTACATATAAAAGGTTATTAAATTTTGCAGCTGGAAAAATTGGGTGATTAGGAGTATTTTTACATTATTTATGATTGTTGGATTTTGTGGTATCATTTATATTGGACCATTAGCACTGATGGCTACAGTAAGTTACTTTTCTGTGAATTTTCTGATATAATCTTATAAGGTAATACTGTATATTTTTGTTTTGATAGACACTGATCGTACAAGTAAAATGTTTCCAAGAAATTATTAACATTGGATATGCTGTCTATAGAATTCATGGTTTACCATGGTTTAGGTCACTGTCGTGGTATTTCTTAATTACTTCCAATTACTTCTTTTATGGAGAAAATTTAATGGACTATTTTGCTGTAGTGATTAATCGAACAGTGAGTACTGTAACATAATTTTATAACTAATATTATTAACACGATAGATTTTGAATATACACAGAACGAAATTGAAAAGTTTTGTTTCTACTTGAGTAAAAAATAAATAGAGGAAGGTATTTAAATAAAACATAAAGAAACTAGCTGAAACAAAACATATGATAGAGAAGGCAAAACTTTTCAGTCCATTCTGGTATTAATGAATAATTAAATTAGATCATGAAATACATTTTTATGAACATATACACAGTACTGGCATAAAATCAATGGACAAAGCTCCTTTAAGTATTATCTTTATATAGTTTGTATGGCTTCCAGTTCTATTTTGTGAGGCTTCTGTTAGATCTGTACATATGAGATGCTGTTTCTCTTTTATACAATACAAAAGACATTAGTTTTCATATTTTCGTAATACTTCCTATAACAGTCTACTAGTTTTATTATTATACTTTCATAGAAACGAATTACGCATAAAATTGATACATCTTTGTGTGTCATTAATTATAGTTCCTCTGAACTTTGTCTTGATTGAATTTCTAGTAACGTATCTCTAGTTTTCTAAATGTACATACAATGATTAATAACAAATGTTTTTGTCTTTCCAGGAATATTTACGTGTACTTGTTACCTATCATCGTTTCATTTCATTTTGTCTATACATTGTTGGCTTTGTATGGTTTGTACTGTCACTTGTAAAGAAATACTATATGAAACAGTTTTCCTTATTTGCTTGGACGCATGTGGCTCTGCTTATTGTTGTGACGCAAAGTTATCTTATAATTAAGAACATTTTCGAAGGTTTGATATGGTGAGTCTCTCGTCAACATGAAGTAATCTTTCTCACGAATTATTTTATAATTTTTCTTTTTTTCTATTTTTAGGTTTATTGTTCCAGTTAGTATGATAGTGATAAACGATGTGATGGCATACATGTTTGGTTTCTTCTTTGGCAAAACACCATTAATTAAATTGTCACCCAAAAAGACTTGGGAAGGCTTTATCGGTGGTGGTTTTTCAACAGTTGTACTTGGTTTAGTGGTAATGTTCTCATTACATCGAAACAAAAATATTGTCTGCAATTGCATTTTTGTAAATATAAATAAGAAAAAGTACATTTTAGGTATCGTACATCATGTGTCAATACCGCTACTTCGTCTGTCCTATTGAATACAGTGAAGCTTTAGGACGAATGACTATGGACTGTGAACCATCCATTTTGTTTCAACCGCAGGAATACACGTTGCCTAACAGCATGCAACTTGTATGGAAAATGGTAATGCATTTTTTTTTTTTTAAATTAGGAATGTTTACATTTTATGAAAACGTCTATCAAAGGATTTAATTCTATATTTTTCTGTCACAGATTAGCGGAAGGAGTGCTATAACACTGTATCCCTTTTTAGTTCATTCATTATCAATGTCGGTATTTAGTTCTGTAATCGGACCTTTCGGCGGCTTCTTTGCCAGCGGTTTTAAGAGAGCATTCAAAATTAAGGTATTTTTTCTTTTGTACAAAAAATTTCATGATAAATGACAATACTTTTCATTCCCATGTAATTGATATAGGACTTTGGAGATGTTATACCTGGTCATGGAGGAATAATGGATAGATTCGATTGTCAGTATTTAATGGCAACGTTTGTGAACGTCTATATATCTTCATTTATTCAAACTTCATCACCTCAGAAACTTTTGCAGCAGGTAAAGTGTATAATAAAATAATAACTTATTGGAAAAAGCCATTTAGAAGTACAGTTCGAATTACTGTTTACAGCCTTTTATATCGAATTCAGAGTGAAATTGCATTTATTTATAAGCAAGTTTAAATATCTATAAAATGATCTACATAATTTACATACTTTTTGTTGATTTTGTATCTATTTCGACTTCATATGATACAGGTGTACAGCTTAAAACCGGAACAGCAGCTACAGCTATTTCAAACATTAAGGGATTCTCTACAAAACAGGGGTTTGTTGAATGTCTACTAATACTCCACCATTGATTGAAATTATTAATAATAATGATTTATTTATAAGTAAACAGAACTGTTAGGAAAGACAGTGTCCTGTCATTTTTAACATGTAACTGAATATTGTGTGCAATGTATGTTTATACAGACTGCATTAACGATATCAATCGCAACTTCATATTAAATTATGATGGCTTATTTTACAACTAGCAGATTAAGAAACATGCCATGCAACATTTGCAGTTTCTTTGCATTCCGCAACAAACAATCCATTTTTTATCGAGGAAAAATCTTTATTAAACTGTGATGATGATAGAAATTCGATGAAGAATTTCTTTTGTGTCGATTAAACCAAAGAATGTTGAAAACACTGTGTGTTATAGAAAAACTTCCAATTTCTTACAGATATCTGAAATACATGTTTTCTTGCTTTATACATCACAACATAATAGTAAACTCATCGATGAAAATAAACTTTCTATAAGTATTGGTCCATAACCAGATGTATCTACTTAAATCAGATCTCAATGTATTTTTAAATCCTAATTGTGCATTTAAGATTCATAGTATTAGAAATGAATCTCGCATACAGTCCATGTATTTCTGCATAGAATTTTAAACACAGCATAACACTAAATAGTTTTATTACTAGGTTTATTTGCGAAATCAGTATATCTCCATATTTTTTGATAGAATATTATTGATTGTACCACATTAATGGGAAAAGTGTTTCTTTAGCTTACCTCTGTAATCTACACATTATGTATGTGTAATTAATGTGTATAAATTAATGTTAACAACAGAAATCAACAAAGTGATTTTTATCACATGTTTTTTATTGTCAGTGTCATGTTAATGTTCGTGTGTCTTTATGGTACTAACTTCGAGATTAATAGTTTTGGGACAACATTTTCTTTGGAAATATATTTTAAATATAACAACATATGTAGTACTCCTGTAAATACTAATAAATAATAGTATCCGTGTTTATTAACAATTGTGGTACGTATGAATTTATCAAATGTATATTTACTGAACATGACACTGACCATTGCTTACATTTTAATTCTAACTCTCAAGTTTATAATAAAATTAAGATGAAAGAAAGTATATATACTTCCATATATTTTTTATTTTATTAGATACAAAACTAAAGAAAATAATTAAATGGAAATGTAACTGTTTTTCACAGTAACTATTTTTTTACTGTAATATTCTGAATTTTTTCACTTAGCGCATTACGATTACTTTCCATATTGTAGACTAGTAAACGAAAGAGTAAAACAGTTTTTAGATTTACCAGAAGAATGGAAAATTTTACTAGAATTATAAGTATTCAGAGATATGGTAAAGTATTGTGTTCCAAGTTATTCCACATCCTATTTGAAATTGTGCCAATTGTTTGTAGGAATAAGCAGATCTTTAAATGAATGTTATACAATTGTAGACAAGAAAATGTCAGCATGGCACAAATAGTAATATTTTTGTGTGATTACATTACATTTCCAATTGAAATTTTATATATGTTTTGAACAACGCTAAATCGTGTATGCTTTGTAAGCAAATTACACAATGTACCTAATTCCAAATTGAATATTTGTACTTTCCTTTATCACCTCATGCTTATACATTAAGGAAAGTTTCAATGTTGAAAATACAATGTTAAACATATATGTATGTGTATACAAAACGAGAGTGAACAGTAGTAGGTAAATAGATAAATGTAAGTATATTTATTTAATAGAAAGCATAATAAAATACACATGTATAGATGGAAGATTTATGATATAGCAGATATGTTATTACAACTATAGATTCTTAAATACAGGTGACTTAAATGTAAATATAATAATATATTTATGTAGTAGTGAAAAGAAATAAAGACAATTCTTGTAAATGTTATTCTCTGTGTTTCCATTTTTTACCCCGTCGAATGTAATATAATTTATTTTATTGAAAAATTTAGTTAAAAAAAAAACTATTAGAACTATTCTTCATAGGAGTTAACATTATACATGAAATAAAAAGCAAGATCAAACGAGACAAACAAGAGAAAACAAGTCGGCTCATAATTATTGTATATATAGATATATCTATGTACACTTATTGAAGCGTCATTGTATCATTGACGTAGCAGCGATCATCTTTATACATACATATGTATATCTATACACATTCATATGAATTTTTAAACATTTGAAACTTGTATATCTCATCGACAAGAAACTTACTTCATCATCTAAGTGTAATTTTAACCGTTTCAGAGCTGAATTATATAGAAGTTTATTTACATCCGAAATAAAAGTTTTTCATTTATTGAAATGTATTGAATATAAGCTTCAACGAGTAAACTACATTTCATAATTGCTTTCTTGAAATATAGGAGATAACAATAAGAAAATTATTGTTATTTCAAAAGTAATCAGAAATGTTATCAGTTCCGTTGCATCCGTCCAATGTTCGCGCTTAAAATAGTTATGTAGGATATCTCATTCGAGGAACTTGAATCGTATAACCAAAATATCGTTCTGTCGAAATGAAAGCTTGAGTTTTAGTATTTTTTTTATTTGATGTCACAGTGAAAACTTTTTCTAGTTTAAAACCTATATACATGTGACATATAAATGTAAAATATTGTTAAATTCACGGCTACCGCTTTCCTTCGGATATCATGCACATATATGTATATAAGTATATGTATAGTTGCTACGAACATTCGTTGGTAATTCTGTAATCTGTTATTTGATTGTATCCAATTGTGACTGCGTTCACTCTCTATTAATACTTTGCAGTCGACAGTGCTACTACACAATAATGACATAAATATATGTACATATACAAACACCGAGTTAAGGTTTCGAATTTGGTGGTATTTCACAAAAAATTCATTTGACATGTCCACTGATCATCACGGTGGTAAGGGTTATACGCCTTTACCGCAAAGCATAAGTAACACTGATACCGAAGATGAAGAAGATTGTTTGGCCCATCAAAACGAAGCTCCTAAAGACCATACTAGCGATGCACTAGCGGTAAGTTGAAATTGGAAGAAATCCTATTTTCACAACGATATCCAATGTTACAATTCTAAATGAAATCAGACATGTATCATGAATAAAAAAAATTGTAGGAATCGAGAATAGTTCACGAAAATGGAGTATATTATCCCTTGGATGAAACAAAAAATGCAGCTAATCGCATGAAAAACGGACAAAACATGCTTAAATATTATAGAGACGATATACCAATAATGGTAATTGAAGGGAACGATCAAAATGATTTATGGAAACCACGTGATATGTCTCTTCTTCGACGTTTCTGCTTGGTTATATCGATATTATTATGTATTGTAACAATAGTTGTATTTTTGTATGTTTTACCATGCGATAACTCTATGGTATGTCCAACCATTGCTGAACCTCAGTCATCCATATCATGGGATAAAACTTTGCAAGGAGTAGGTAAGTCTAACAATATTTAATGCGTATAATTCTTCGATTTAATTGTACTATAAGGAAAGCTTGTTTAAAAAAATGTATACATACGTTTGTTAAATATTTTTAGAATTACACGGGCCTATCACTATTATTCGACAAAAACCATCGAATCTTATATTCCTTGTTCGTGGACAAAAATACAGGGGAAATGATTCAAATGAAGATCCAGGACAAATATCAGCAGACGGAGGAGGAGTTATGTCAATGCAAGGAAACAGTGGTTTACCATTATGGCTGGTTTCATTGCAAAGACCACCTACTGAAATAGACTGCATTTCAGTTGATACTGACCGATCTGGAAAACCAGACTGCATAGTTGCTGGTGATCAAGGTCTTTTAGCTAGTATTGAACCTATTGCAGGCACTATACATTGGAGCTCGAAAATTCATACGTTTGAGAAACTACCTGTAATTTTGCCAGATATTGATTCGGATAGAGTTGCAGATTTTTTGAGTGTAGAAGTAGCAATAAAGAATATGCCTAATCTTGTTCTTTTATCTGGAGGGACTGGTCATCTCTTAGGAAGATATTCACCTGGAAACTGTTCATCGATCAATATATATAATCTTGTCTCTAATCATACTATATCTTATATCTGCACCGACAGTAACAGAAAAAGTAAATATTAATATATTTAAAGAAATTTGTATAAAAAAATAATTTTAGAAAGCTAAACTTCTTCCATATTAAACTATATTACTTCTTTGCAGGTGTTGTTAGCACAATGACTTTTGTTGGATTACTTCATGCTATGAAGTTACCAGAGTCATACATGAAGACTGCAACAAAATCCGTAACATTCCGGCTGTTTGAAACTTTAAAATTTGATAATGATAAACTCAGTTGGAAGCCTACACCGTATCATTATTTATCTATAGAAAATGAAGGTTCGTGTCCTGGAGAATTTTGCAGAGCTAGTGTAAATCTGACATTGCAAAAATTTGGGAACCAACCAGTAACCATATGGGATCATGTTAGCCCAAATTCGTTTGTATCGAAACCAGCTTTCTTAGTTATGTCTAAGAATCCTTACACTTCTGGATTCGCCATTAAATTTTGGCAGTGGGTTGACACAATGTCTGAGCATACAACGAAAGTAAAAGAAATTAAAGAGAGAAGACTAATAGAAAGTGTACTAATAGTTTTTGTAAATTATACAGAGGTGCAAGTCATGAATACAAGTCAGAGTGATATTACTCAATTGTGTCACGGTTCAGACTGTCAACCCAATTTGAATTCGCGTGCTCGTTTTAGTTCAATCAAAATTGATTATATCAGTGACGATGGATTTCCAGAATTAATAACTTACTGGTCATCATACGATATAGAATCACCAAAAGTACTAACGTCTAAGGTGCAAGTTGTAAAATTAGATTCAATCGTGACTAACTTCACGCGCTTAAATGCCTAATGTCTTTTTACGTTTCATTAACAGCTACTCTTGTTTCTACATACATTACTTGTCCAGCTTCACCGCTCGAAACTGTGTATAATAAACAACAACGAAAGGAAACGAAAACGTGTGCTCGTTTCATGAATATATTTATGTGAAGTTATTAACGGTGGCTGGTCATAAATCTATTAGAACTAGTCAACACATTAAAAATAGTAAAACAATAGTTTTCATAGTTGCCTAATTGATTTTAAAAATAATTTTCATAATAAGCAGCCATTGTTAACGTCTACATATTTTAAATGAACTCTCAATGGTGCCTTGCAAAAGCTATATAGAAGACTCATGAGCATATGTATAAAATTTAACTTTGCAAAACTACTGACATGTTATTAAGGAACATGTTATAAATTACATATGTTTAACAAAGTTCTGAAAGAGATAGCAAAGTTCCTTTTCTAATATTACTTAACAGTGAGTGTGAGATTTTTTCATGTAAATCTACCGTTCACTTCGAATGAATTGTTTCCTACATAAAATAGAGCTTATTGCACACTAATGCTAGTGCAGTATCGTAGAATCTTGGTAGTGTATGAAAATCTAATTCTAGTCAAACTTGTATTACTTTTTCTTTTCATTGGAGATTATATATTTATATATTATTGTAAGTTAATCATTTACCATTCCAGACTGCAATATTATTTGTCTGTTTTCTTTCTTGTAAAACTTCTCATTTGTAAATGAAAGTATACTAACTTCAAAATAAACGGTACTAACTGTATATGACCCTACGTATGATATTTTATTATAAAAATTACATTTTGATAAATGTTCAATTGTATAGTCTTTTTTCTTGCAATAAAAGAATCTTAATGAAAATAATCGTAATCATTATGAAAATACCATCTGTAAATTAAAAAGTTCGTAACACACGGCAATGGAGGTTAATTTTACAAGCTGTGCAAAAACTTTATTTAAAACTCAATAAAATGATTTGAAATATTTTGCATTCGAATAAAGAAACGAGGAAAACAACGATAAATTTTGAATTCATTTCTACAGAATAGTAGTGGGGATGATTGACCATGGATGACAGAGCAAATCAGTGTGGGTCACACACTCGTACTGCCCACAGTGTATCTAGTCCTATTTTCAGTAACGGGTGTTCTATACAGTGCGTGTGAATCCTACTGATCATTTGTACCAGCTGTTGATCCATATAACTGATATATCAAAGCTGTGTTAACTCTATGTGAAAGAAACAATAAAAGGAAATAAAAATCTAACCTTAATCGTGTAAGAGAAAATCACTCGACATGCGGCTACGTAACGTATGTCCGAGGTACGAATAGACGTATGTGCGATAACATTTGTACTGGTTATACGATGGCTACGGGAAAGCGAAGAAGTGTGCATACGACGCTTGGAAATTCCACGATGTTTGGTTCAACGGCAAGTAATGTAAGGTCAAGTCGTTTAAACTTCCGTCCAAATTCAACTCAAGAGGACAGAGGCGGAACACGACCGACCGCTGCTCCGAGCTCCATAGGACTTATCCTCGTAACGATGTTTTTACATGTTTGCAAGAAATCATTACTATTCGATACAAGACTCAAGGTTGCTATATATTGCGGAGCGATATTCGTAGTATCGCTCATAGCAGACTTTATGACAATGCCAAGAACGTATTTCTCGCGTTCAGATAACGCGCTTAACCAATACTTCGTGAAGTGGGGATGGGGATGGCTGCTGTCCGTAACCGTTCCATGGGTTGCATTGACTGCGCACACACTTGGCTGCGGCCGTAGATCTGTTTTATTGAAACACCTTGCCAGACTGGGTTTAGCAACAATTGCATGGTTAATGTGGATCAGACTGTTTAATTACATCGAGACGACTTACGGCCGATGCCTTAACACAAGAGACATTCAACTGCAAACGAAAACGAAATGCCTTCAGTCCGGTAGATTTTGGAGTGGTCTCGATATATCCGGACACACGTTCATTCTGATATACTCGAGCTTAATTCTGGCAGAAGAAGGCTCGTCGTTAGTCGGATGGGAGGGTATAAAAGATCTGGTTATGCGGGAAGAGCACTCGCGAATCACTCCAAACGATCCCAGCAGCGGACCACTTCGGAATCTATCGAACTCTGATTTGGAAATCTTGAAGAAGGCGCATAAAGCGCTCACGCCTTATCTCAGGGGACTTTTCGTCGCGATGACGTTACAGCAATTACTTTGGGATGTTATGCTGGTGTCTACGATGCTGTATTATCACATTATGATAGAAAAATTCATCGGCGGTGTAGTCGCCGTTTTAACGTGGTACGTTACGTACCAGTGGTGGTATAAGTCGTCGAAGGCTTCGTTACCCCCGCCTGGTGATGGTTTATTTAAATATAACGAGGTGAAGGTTTACGATAACAACACCTCGACCAGGTCGAGACGCAGCACTTTGAATGGTACAAATAGATTTATGGGATTTCCTATTCGCATGAACCAAGATAATGCCGATACGAGCAGTATCAACAGACAATCGGATTCTGATGTAACAAGTTCTAGAATATGAAAATTGTCAAAGACTCTGAGCTTCTTTTCTTTATTGGTTGGATTGGTCAAAGTTTCTGATATTTTTAAGTGGCTTCCTTATACACATATTACATGCAAATGTAAGGTGTACCGAACGTAAAACGTTTCCCCAAATCTACAATAGCATTATTTTTTAATTGTACGATGTTTCAGAAGGCGTAACTTATTAAAAAGAACGCTAACAGGTTTTGGGGAACGGATTTTTCTTAAGTCTCGGTGTACTGATTCATACCAGATACGTATTTGAAATTCTCCATAAATTATACGCGGTGTTGGTGATATTTTGCATAAATGAGAAAATTACTACTTTTTCAAGATAAAAATTTAAATTACGTAAGTATCGCAAACAATTGCACCTATGTAGATTTCTATACAGTATATTTAAACGACATACGTGTTCTTTTTCTACCTCTGTATGGATTGTTTAACCAATCAGATTATAGTTATATAGTACAATTATTGTTATGGATACATCTTGTATGTCCTTGTTTTGTAATTTGTATTTAATAAACTTTATTGTTAACAAAGTGTTTGTCCCATAAGTTGATAAGGTGCTTGTAATACGAATTTAATATAATCTGTTGTGGAAAGTACAAAATACATTGTCACATCTGTGTCTCCTTTTCTTACGAATTTATCAGATTTTATGTACTCTACTGCTGTTGCATGTAGGATTAATTTACTAGCCTATAAAAGTTGTATAAAAGAATACATTTTCCTTAATAGTCTTTTGCGTCGCTACGTTCGTCCAACAAATTTCTTTATTTTAATATGACAACTACTATTCTAGGAATAGTATAAAATCCGACAGTTAGTAGTTACTCGTTTTTTAATGCTTTGTGATGAAAGCGTTAAGATTTTAACTTTTTATGTTCCACACATATAACGTCGTAAAAAGCAGCAATATAAGATACGTACATTTTATTGTGTATTTATGTTTAGTTATATTGAATTTATGTCCTTCCCTTAATCTGACAACGAATGAACTATTTCATTACGGATCATTCTGATTTTAATATCTGTGAATACTTTTACTTTGCACGAATGATCAGATTTTTTTCAACTACTATTCTAAAAAATGTATACTTAATTTGTTAACAAAATAAAAAAAAAGAAGAAATTATAGATTATTTGTACAGGCGCGACATCTTATTGTCGTTCAATATCACCAAACTTGCTTGCATATCGTGCTTAGAAAATGTTAGATTTGTGATGATCATACATAGTTTGCGTATTTCAACAAAACCGTCGTCGTTCATACATAAATAAATTACACGTTCGTTTATATTTACGTGTGTTTGGCATTTTTCACGACGTAGTCCAGTAGTTTATTTTCTTTTTCTTTTTTTTTTTCGTTCTATCTCTACAGATCGTTGTAATTAATCGATCCTTAAAAAAAAACCTTCAATGCTCGACGTTTTCACATGTACATGTAGAATATCTTATATGTGAAAATACACATATGGGTATCAACTTCCAGCGATGAAGAAACTGTACAATATGACAGGCTTGTTCAACATTGTATCTGTTTACATATTACTAACAAGAAAAAAAATTAAGAGATATAACGTTGATATCGCGGTTCGAACAATCTGTGTAATTGGAAACGCATCCGTTTCCAATATGATCTTTTGTCAGCGTATCACGGCATTACGTTTACAGCGGCTAATTAATTACACGATACATCTACGAAATATTTACGCGTGTAGGTACGTATTTACCTTCGAGGCGACAAGCCGCGTTATTAGACCTTTGATCTCTTACGAGCGATTGCGTCTTCCACCGCTTTAAGTTGCTTCAACAATTCTTCTCGCCTTGAACTCGCTTTCTTGGCTGCTTTCGCCGCAGCGGCAGCGACGCTCGCTTTACTGTCGATCAAAGGCGGCGATTCTAACGGTCTCTTCTTTCCGGCCATCATACCGGACCGATCGATTTTTTTTACAGCCGTGGCATTGCTAGTCGGCTTCAATGTGAGCTTGATCTGTTGCTTGGTGCCGCTCAGTTTTAAAGCGTCGATACCCTTCGAATCTTTCCGTGTTATCGGCGGAGTCGAACCTTTTCTACGACGGGTCTCGCTGGAAGAGGACGAGTAACTCGATTCGCTGGAATCACTGCTACTACCGCTGCTCTCCGACCCTGAACTGCTGTGCGAAGATCTAGACAAAAAGAAATGTTTGCTACGTACTCAAACGGCCCGAAAGCACTACACGTTCATCGAATAACTGTTGCGTGCTGTAAATACAATGGACTCTAACTATACTGCCATGGTCAGGGCTGTAGGGGAGTAAAATGGCAATGAGTTCAGAGCCCCCTGCGTGTTAAGTTCTGTCGTCATAGCCCCGGTCTTAGCGCCTGCGCAAATCTGTGTGCTCGAAAGTACTAGTGAAAGAGGAAGTGCTTCTGTCTATGCAATATGTCTAGTGGCAATATAGTTAGAGTCTGTATCTCATTGTACTGATAATGTGTATGTTCTGTGCATTGTTTATCAATTTTTTTTTTACCTGGATCTTGATCGACTTTTGATAACTTTTGCTACAGCTGCCGCTGCTATGGCCGCTTTGTCCCTCGTCTTCTCGTGGTGTCGTTGATGAGAGGAAAGCGGGCTCGGCGCAGGAGGGTTGAGTCCTGCACGCCGGTGCAACGTTCCGGTTGTGGGCGAAATGGAACCTTTGGGTGGACGAGGAGAAGGGGCAGGTGGGTTCATTAGCATCGCACCGCGCTGTGGCGCAGCAGCTGCGACAGTTGAAGGGTTTGTGGGTGGCGACGACACGACTGCTTTCCCTTTGCCAGCACCACGGGTTCTAGAGGGAGGGGATGGTGAACGGGACCTGGATAGGGAGTCGTAAGAACTGTAGCTAGAACGGCTCGAGCTACGGCTAGAACTAAAAAGAGCATACAGTACACTTGTATGTCTTTTGTAGACACGAAATATTAAAAAAAAAAAAAAAAAAAAAAAAAAAATTTTAATCGGATTGTACAAGTTATACAATATTTCCAAATGAATCGTATTATTATTTATCACTTATAAATTAAAGGGGTCAGTGCAATAGTGGGTCATACAACAGAACAAATAGCGTGAGGAATGTAAACCTTAAAGCTTAAGATTCTCTAACTGTTATTGTTTTAGAATCAAGAAACAGAAAACCATAAAAGACAATGTTAATTTATGTATGGAACAGACCACTTGTCACAATATACAGTGCAGCAATTAATATCTATTCACTTTTCTCAAATGTTGGAAAGCCCGCTGCTATTGGACTCCCCTACGATTCATGGTTGTAACTTGAATTCGACACTAAAATTTTTATATAACCACCAGTGCTAATAACAACACGATCTGGTGGTAATAGAGAACGCTGCTGTTGCCAGAGAATTTGTATCTATGAAAAATTAAATGAGGGATCCAGTGCAATTAAAAACTGAGATTTTTATTCATCCTGGCACCTCTTGAATGTCTAGTTACTTTCCCTTAATTTATAACTACGTGGCAAAATTTCTGCTTGTACTATGATTGTATATATGTACTATGGTGTATACTACTTTTCGTAATAGCCTTAATATCTCACAACGATACTATTGTGACAGCTCCCTCTTGTACTGGAGCCCTCAAATGATCGTACTATAAATATTACCTTGACGACGAGTATGAAGAACCTGAGGAGTACGATTGCCTTCGTGAACGTCGGGACGATGTATTTCGTCGTACAGCACTGGGCGACTTTCGCCGCATCCAAGGATCTGCCCATTCATCTCCTCTACCCCTTTCTACCGGTGGTGGTTCTTCTTCCCGCCATGGTTTTGTCGGTGGAATACGCTCCACTATAACTTCCCTTGATGGACGCTTATGTTTCTTTTCGTATTTCTCATAATACTCTCGTTCCCTATCACGTTCACGTTCCCTTTCTCGTTCACGATCTCGTGTGTGTGGCGGTGGAGAAACAGAATGGGGTGTTCCACGAGGTACTGCATGGTAATCGATACGTTCTCGATACTCAGCGACGCGAGAATCTGCTTTATAATGTACTCTCCTATGGAAAAAATGAACGAATATTGTGTTTTTAGAAGGAAATGATTAAGAATAGGAAACAAATGTGTTTAGAAGCTGTTTTACAGTCGTCGAGTATTACCTGTAATACTCTGGTGGAGGTGCTGCCGGCGGTGCATAGTAAGGATCGGGCTCTTCGACATATCGTTCAGGTGTAATTCTTGGCGGTGGTACTCTTCGAGGAGCCTCCCGAGGCGGCCACCTTTCAACAGGTGGTTCTGGGCTAGCAGCTCTTACATAATAACCTGCTTCTCTGTCCAATTCATCTTGTCCTAAGCTTAAGTTCATTTTCTTCTCTTCGAAGTCCATGTCCGATTCTTTACGCTTGTTCGCTTTGCGCATCATCTATACGAAGATATAAGTAAACATTAATTATAATGCTGCGGTTTAATATTTGTGATTATGTGTAATAACTTTGTGGGGACACAAACTGACTTCTTTAGCGTGTCGCAATCCACGTTCCCATGCAGATTCGGTAGGAAGCTCTTCTATTTTTGGCGTATGTGACGGTGCACCGTAACCAGGCAATGGTCGCACCATATTTGGCCTATCGATATGTGGTCTGAACTCATGCTGAGTGGTTGCATGTGGCGGATATGCCATTGGTCTCACCATATCGAACATGGTGTAATTACCCTTGTCTGTTACACCTGGATGTAAAAATCGACAACTAACGCCCCATGTACATTGACCGCGGTTATAAAACCGGCAAACGGGCCTTGGTTCTGTTTCTTCTGGGCGAGCATCATCGCCATCGCTCAGCTCGCCTTCTTCTAATTCAGACTCCGCTTTCTCTCCATCTTCTTCCCCTTCTTCCTTGTCATTTCCATCACCTCCATCTTTTAACCTGATCTTATCCTTATCTCTGTCCCTATCTTTGCCATCCTTCTCGTCTTTGTTTTCTTTCAGAATTGGTCCATCCGTTTCTCCTGAGAATAGTATATTTAATTATTTTTATATCAAATGTAAATTGTATCAATTGTTTTCAAACTTTATGTAAAATTACTCTTTACTTTAAACATTTGTAAAATATTTACCGTCATCGCGTTCATCCTTCCACTGACCGTCCGCTTCAAAGTCCAACTGTTCGCTTTCCTCTGTTAATCCAACCTGTGCATTTTTATCTTCTTTCTCTACTTTATCGTCGTTGCTTCCTATACGCCTCTCTTCGTTATGCTTATTTTCTTGAAGTTCTGACTCACGTTCACCATTGCCATCGACTCCATCCATACTCTCTAGATCAGAAACATCTGATAAATCTTCACCATGTGTAATTGGTGCAGGCTTCGACTTAGCTATCGACTCGGGTTCGTCCTCAATATCTCCGTCCGAAATTTGTTCTCCATCCAATTCATTAAACGAACCACTCTTCGTTGGTGGGGAATGAGGTGGTGAATGTTTGTCTGACTCTTGATCATCCATAGGAGATGCTGGACCTGACTTTGGAGAACTTCTTCCAGACATTAATGACTTCGGTGAACTATGTCCAGACCTTGGAGATTTTGGTGAACTTTGCCTTGATTCACTATTTTTATAAGAATACGATTTAGGAGAATTATCGCCAGACCTTTGTGCATCAATATCCAGGTCAAACTGTTTGGCTTCTGTGTCTTCGAGATGCAAAGATTTAGAGTCATTAGGAGTGGATGGGCATGATCTTTCATCTGGTATAGGTGAATGAGACATGCTACGATCGCTTCTAGGTGAATCCAAAGAATTGTTTCTTGAACGATACGACTTCGGTGTGTTAGGTGGTGATTTTGACAAACTGCGTATAGATCTGGGAGAACATTCTTCGCTAGGAGATGCTAACCCAGATCTTTGAGACTTAGGCGATATTGGTGTATATCCTGGTGATTTTGAATCCCTTTCAGATATTATAGATGCTGGGGACTTTCCTCTTGAAGAAATAGAACTTCCTCTAGACTTGCGATCCGACACAGATGAGTGATGCGAGTATGTCGGCGATGCGACATTGTCAACAGACGTGACTGGATTTCTTCTTCCATCATAACCGTCTGAGGAGGAACTTTCTGAACCAGAGTCTGACATGATGAATTATTCTAGCCTGTAAACAAGTGATAACCTTACAATACTTGTAATAAAATTTAATGCAAGACCGGGACCATCGTTAAAACAATTCATTATTTCCTCTTACTTGAGAAGTGAATTTTTATTAGCCGTACCGACCGAATGTAGCACTGTAAAATCTGCATCAGTAGCAGCGCAGGGCTTACCTGTATCAATAAGAGCCTGTGCAGTACTCGCTCTTGAAGGCACAACGCGCGCGATCCATACCGTGTCGAACATACTTTTTATGTCACGTCGATAACTTTTTCGTTACTAGCAACTTTTATACTTTATACTTAAACTGAACTTTTTTTCACATATACAATAAATACTGTTAGTTTTTCAGGATTTCTTGCCCGGAACTTTTTTGTTTACGTTTTAAACTTTTTCAACTCGAACACAACACAAACTAAGAAATACCGGTAAACTGCAAACCGTTTTGTACTGCACTAGAAACTATAACGAACGGACTTTCAACCTGTAAGAATATCTTTTGGGCATATGGAAAGACAAAGAAAAAGGAAGAGAGGAAAAATTTAGGAAATAATAAACTGAAGTACTGTTCTCGTCAGCGAATATAACAAGATTGTACAACACTAATATTAATCATACATTTATCATGAGTACTAAAGAAGCAATGGAGATAAAAAGATTAATAATAATTTGTTACTATAGCAAAATAATGAAAATACAATTTTACATTAATATACATACAGTAAGTAAAAGCTGTATTATTACAACTAGGAAAGGTAATAGAAACATTCAATATTTAAAAACATTAGACTTTACATTACTAATTTAACATATCTAGTACTTGTCATGTATATATCAAACAAACTGCAATAATAATGTCTGACAAATCAGTATTAATCATGAAAAATACTATTAAATTGGTAATCAATGTATGCTTTATTCAAATGCGCCTGTTTTTATCGATTCTGCGTCTAAACAATTTCATATTCTTGCAACTCAAAGGATAAATAATTAAATTAAGAATATAACCTTACATAAATGTAATAATCTGAAAATATCAAAATCGCTTTCAAATAATTAGTTTTGAATCATACTTTAGATAAGATTTCATAGATCATGAATGGTATAGCTGGGTGGTATAGCTGGGCAATACACCTGTGTTGAAATCAGTGCATACTGAGACAAGAGGTAGAAGAATAGGAGGCCCAATGATTGTTCTCTCTCTCTCTCTCTCTCTCTCTCTCTTTCTATCTATTCATGTATGTATCTCTCTTTAGTTATGAAATAAAAGCTCAACAAGGGGTTTTACGATTAGCTGTGTGTAGTAAACAACAGTTCAAATCATTATTTATAGGTAAGCACATGTGTACCTGGAGATAACAACATAATGAGATAATAAACCATCAACTGTAATATTATGCAATGATTCATTATGTATTTGCAATATTATATGTAGATACAAATAATATACCTCCAATTACTTCAATTGCAAACTATGCCTTGCTAAAAAGTCCTAGGGCCCGGAACCAACTTTAATACTTTAAAAATTTTCAGAATTAATCTACAAAGAAATTATAATATATGAATGTTTTGCACAGCATTAAGTGAGGCATGAGTTCCCTATTTTGATAATGTTCTTCGTTTACTACTAAATCCATATATTCTTTATAGTTCTATTGGACTCACTACCTCTTCATATTATCACCTCCAAGTATATTTCACATGAAATGAGCATTATATCAATGGAACAGTATTTGCTCAACTGATTGCCAAAAATTTTATTACAATTGTCTTTGCTTCTCCACCTAGTCCTCTTGTCTCCTTCTTTGGCCATCAGCTGTGCTCAGTCAAACTATACTATATTTTCTTAATAAATAATTTCTGAATTCGTCAAGAAGTAAAAAAATATCGTTGTTTTCTTCGAACACAAATTTCTAATTGTATCGAGAAGTCATTACTACGGAACCCTAATGCACTTTAATCTTTACATTGAGTCCAAGTTTATTCAAGTATTCTCATGGGTGTATTGAGGTTAACACTGTATTGATTTTAGACATTATTGCAAATCAACCTGTAAAATTCCAAACGAACGATTTCACGGAATTTCGTGCACCGTTCTCGAAAAAGGTACAAAATATTTCGTGAATCTGCTAAGAACGTGTTGTAGGATTCTTACCTTGGTTGCGCGTACGCCTGTAGGCCTTTGGAGATTTTAAGGCTCCGAGGCTTTAGGCCGACGGCGTCACCCAGATAAAACGATTAGACTTTTCGGATGCGTCTCCGTTTTATCGTTTGTCTGATTAATTCTATCCCAAGACGAAACGTTGTTAATTCCGAAATTAATTGATCGCCGTGGAATCAGTCTTAAAGAGGACAAAGCACAAACGAAAAATTCATGGAACGCAGGAATCGAAAGTCCTTCATTACTGCAAACCATGAACCACCGTCATAGTAGACACGGTAGACTCCAATAGACATTCTGTTCCGAAACTGCACGTACCCTTTGTTTTTTCCTCTGTAAAGATAGCTGGACAATTATGACTTTTTAACGTTTCGTTATACTCAATCGATTGGTGGTCGATTGGTGGTTATTGGTGGCCTAATTACAACATTTGGTGGTACTTAATTTCTAGAAAAAATGAAAAAAACGATGTGGTCATCTGACATTTCAGGATACAGGTGTACCAACGCACGTTTAAAGTTGATAAAACAGATATTTCTGGATTGATTGTCTTTTCGGATGAATCGATCGATGTAGAAAGGTGTGCTAATGATTGGTAACCTAATTGAAACATTTGGTAGCCAGTAATTAAAGCAGAATATATAAAAATTCGTACCTCTGCAGTACGGCAAGCATCGAAACCTGGGATAGGTTGAGAAGTGAATACAGCAATATTGAAATACATTTTGGTGAATAAAACTTATATTTCTTAACCGATTTTGCTCTACGAGGGCTTAGTCGAAGCAGAAACGCCTTCTCCTAATTGGTGGCCCAATTAGAATATTTGGTGGTTAAGCGTCCTTTTGTAATCGGCGTCAAACTTATGAAACCTTTATGAAGCTTTGAAGACGGCGCAAGATGGCGCCCCCCGTTTACAGTTTCCCGCGCGTTTTGCAAAAATTCTGGATTAGTTTCAATTTCCGCTACCAGATGGCTACCATAATTTTAGTAAAATCACGATTTTGCAGTTTTCCCGCGCTATTTCAAATTAAAAATTTAGCAAATTTTAACTTTAAATTTACCGTTATTGCAATTTGACCTAAATTTAACAATTATTATTTATTTGTTTATGGTTAATATGGGCTAGTTAGTGAAAGGTATAATATATTGTAATAGTATTTCCATAAATTGAACAATAATTGCCTTAAGTACTACTTATGTACATGATTTCACAATATATTTATAATAATATTTGTATATGTAGATTCAGTAAAAGTACGCTCAGATGTTATTCATGCTTACAAAATATTGTACTTTATCCGTCGCAAATAATTTCTTCTTCTGTAACTTGCAAATCTTCCGTTCGATCTTCAAAGCTTCATAAAGGTTTCATAAGTTTGTCGCCGAAATTTTCATTCCCGCTGGCATACTGAGGAGTGCAGTAATGGAACAACCGTAGGGGACATCCATGGCAACCAGTAAACAAGAATATATCAAAACATTTTCGAAAAGGTTAAAAGTATTAATTTGTTTAATGGCTGCAGCTCGTTGCATTTGTGGCGAGGAGCCAAAAAAAATTCGACGATAAATTCGATGCGTATTGTTCACAAGTAAGTGAATTAAACATTTATAGAACTGAAGATACGAATCTAAAAACTTCATGGTTTTGCTACATACTTATACACTACACTCTATAGATTAAAAGTCATTCTACATTTTTCCCCTCCAGTTAATGCGCAGGCGCTCCCCACTTAGGTATATTAGAAAGAGATGCCAACTCGTCCGAAAACTATCTACTTTTTTCTAAAGTTGATACCAGTTTGGACACTTGGGACGTCCGTTTCAGACTGACGCGTAGTCTATATTGGTCTATATTTCTATGACTATGGCATGAAGCTAATAGTTACAGCTACACAACCTCCGTAACAAAGGACTTTATTTACAAATTCTAGTAGTAACTCAAGAAAGAGTAAGGGAATCTAGTTATATTCCCCTCAAATGATAGATTTTATCACCATGGATGAATTCCTTTCTACCGAAAAAAATATGCTCATACTACTACACATACGGAAAGCACCCAAATGTATTTCGATTTGCAACTATTTAAATATGTAGTAACAATTTAATGGTAGCACGTATTCCATTGTTAGAAAGTCAAAACACTTATAGCGGTTTCCGTGCACTTGTATTAATTTAAACATATTATCTTTAATGATTGATCCAATAAATATAACAAATTTGAAGTATAACAGAATAATAAGGAATATAGTTAATATTAAATAAGTTTGAATTGAAGCACAAATCTTTCTACGTTTGTTATACGCGATGCGTATATATAATATTAATATACATTTACATACACAGTACATATTAGTAGCATGTTGCAGAAATTAATTTTTCATGTAACACATGCACACACATTGATTTGTTAGTCTTAATAGAGAAGAGAACGGTAACATTTTACAATACATTAACATTGGTGAACAATAAAACGAAATTGTAAAATTATTATTTTTGTGCTTCACTCCATAGTCATATAATGGTAAAAAGAAACATGAATCCGCAGAAAATGGAAGAGAGTGTATAAGCAGCATATGTATATTTTTGGAAAATGATGCATTTCAACAAATATAAATTACTATTTTTATCCTAACAAAACCAAATAAGTCTATTACTAATAAAAATTATTTACCGCAATATTTTCTGACAATATATATTAATTATGAAAATTATATATAAAATCCATAACAAGTAATGCAATTTTATATGTTTATCATATAACAAATAACTTCAAAGTTACATCAAAATATTATATCTTTATTATTCATATAAACGGTATACAATATGTTACAAGCATATATACATATACATAAATGTATGTGAGTGTATGTATATATATATACATACATATATAATATATATGTTCGTGTAAATTATATTTTTAAAGCTAGGTACATAGATGTTTGTGCAGTAAAATTCGAAACACTTTCCCTTGATATTCTTTTTTTCAAAAACTTCCCGTATTCGGACGCTGGCCATGAAGCCTCACTATAGTTATGTACCATTAACCACACTTAGAAAATGTAGAGGTATAAATGTAGAAGCCAAAAAACAGTTAAATTTGTGAAACGAATCGAAAATATATTGTTGGTCATTGATTAATATCTATGTTCATATATCTTCAAGGCACATTTGAAATATAATCAGTTATACTAGTTTCATATTACACAGGAATTTACTAACATTAGTTGTTCCTATCATTTTACTGGAGTGACTGGAGTTAAGACTTCATTGAACATAAAAAGGTGAGAAAGAAAAGGAGAGAAAAATCAATAGAAAAATATAAAATATTAAAAACTCCTTTAGCCAAAATCACAGACGAGTCTCTTACTTTCTCAAACAGAGCACAGAATCGCATTTTCATGGTCTTAATACTAAAATAATAGTTAGTTAATATAAATATTATAAATATACATTCATATATATATATGTAGTCTTATCAAATTACATGCGTACATATATACACACGTTCTCGTAGTACACGAAACACTCATTAACAATAAAATTTACATATTCTATACTTTCTCGCAAGTTACATTGTTACGTATGTTTAGATGTACGCATGTACAACGTATAAACAGTGGTCTTGCATATCTGTATAAATATATATACATATATATATACATATATATTTATACATGTATATTTTGATTATATCCTTTTTTGATATTCAGATCGTGAAGGATATCTTTCATAATACTGCACCTATTTCTATGTACATAAAATGTTTACAGAACATAATGAAATATAGATTAAACGTATGCCGATGATAATAACAAAAATAGTAACAAGTGACTTTTCAATTATTACATGTTACCATTACTACACATCGATATGATAAAAATGCCCTGTTCATCGGCTTTGTTGTTATTACCTTTCGATCACATTTATAATATTTTGTAATTAGAAAAATTACTTTGCAAGATCCGACTCCTGCCTTTCCAACATCATATTATATAATACACATTGACTAACACTCTCTTATTGTAAGTATACTCTTTTCCTTTCGTTCATTGATAATTTTGCCTAATCAGGTCTTATGTGAAAATAATCGTCATTTGTTCTTTGTTGAAAGTAGCAAAACATTTCCCAATGAACATCAATATGCGGGCATTTCTTTTTTTTTCTTCTCTAAATTAGATAAAATGGCTATCATCTGCACTGCAGGTGTTTATTAACAAGTATAGAAACATATGACGAGATATTTTAATAATTACACGCAACGCAAAAGTGAAAACTAGAATCTTCCTTCAGTATTTAATAGTAACAACATTATTCGTTAACAAACTATACAAAAAAGAAAAGAAGAGACGAAACTGTCTATCTGACCACGTTTCTAGGATATTTATGCAACATAAAAGAAATATCTTTATATGTTGAGTTGTGAAATAAACATGTAGCAGTCAAAATAGTAATATTCATATTAACAGCAATTAACGACATAGATACTAACAATAATAACGTGGTACAGTTTCGATCGGTTGGAATTGTTATTATGTTTTTAACAGCAATCGAAAGCAATTATTTCAATAATTTTGCTAATAAAAAATTATATTAAAGAAATAAACGAATATGGTTTTAGCTTTGCATAGTGCAAACTCTTATCGCGAATAGCCGCTACACATCGAAAAATATATCTTATGTATATTAGTTTTTCGTAAGTTTTGTTCTGTTGGCGGCAACTGCTGCAAGACATGCCAGCGCTTCCAAGTCCGGCGACGCACACCATGCTATTAATATTTACATGAATAATTATATTAACACATATAATTACTTTGTAGATAATAATGTAGACATATTTTTTTATCGTAGACATGTGAATATCCATAATAGGTCAATTAATATTTAATAAAAGTTGTAAAAAATGTAACGCGTAAGCTATATTCCATTTGTTCCATTTCATACAACATATTTTCATTGTACACGATTTTATTGTATAATAAAACGAAATGCATAAAAATAAATGACCACTGTAGTACTAATTAAATATATATATACTTACATTTATTAGATTCATCTGCTTCAATTTGTGTGGAATCATTAATAGCTGCTGCATTACGCGTAATGCTCTGTTTCCGTGCTTTCCTCTTTTGACTTCCAACCAGAAGCCCTTTCTCGATATCCTCATTTTCATGTTCTGTTCGATTATTTGAACCATTCGCTTGACCATTAGCGTTGAAATTGTTTTTATACTTTTGTACGATTTTTTTCTTTTTCGTACGTTGTTGTTTCTTCTTTTCCTGAAATTCTTCTAAACTTAAAGATGGTAATGCTTCGATTTTCTTTTCTAAATTAAAATCCCTAAACAAGAAAGACATCACATAAAAGTCGGTAATGTATGCTCATCGCACGTATAATTTCATTGCATAATATCTTCAAATCAATACAACATTAAACTTACTCAGCTCGAAATCTTTTACGTGCTGTCCATGGTCCAAAATCTAATTCTCCTTCTGCACCTTCTGTTTCTGTTTCTTCTGGTTTTGAAGCTTCAATATTCCCTTCGGCACTTTAAGCAGTATTCACATTATTTTCTCATTTGTATATACATTTATTTATAATTTACATTTGTATTATATAGTTATATTTACAATTGAAAAATTTCGAATATAAAGAAAGACGTTAATTTTACCTTTCTACAAGATGTTCCAATTCACCACGAGAACTATTTCCACCTTCACTACTCAAAGAATCAGTTTTTTCACTGACATTCGATGAAATAGAATGTCTTCTTTCGTTCGTTTGTCCATCAGTGCTAGCAAAAGTATTAGTTAAGGCAATTTATAATATGAACAATGAATTAACAATTTGACTGTACACAGCAGTTTAAAGAAATATTTACCTACGATTTCCAGTTTGTCGTCTTCGTTTCGGTTGCTGCCCTGGTGCATTAATATTCTTCATTTGCTCTGCAAGGAATTTTTGATAACGTAAACCTTTGCATGTTCGTTCGCTTCTAAAATTAGTTTCTTCTGAAGGCATATTTGTAGTTATAAAATTACTTATTTCCATTTTGTCATCATCTGTGTCCTAAAATTTAATGTTAATTACAGTTATATAATGATCTCAACAAATAAAGTACCTATACCAATTATAAAACTACATGTTAAGGACAATCACTCTTACATATTGATGCTCATTGTTATTCGATTCAGACTTTCTCCTTTTCTTTGCATCAAAAAGATCAGCTTTGCATTCTTTTTTCTGATCGGGTGAAAACGACGAATCTGCATATTTTTTCTGAGGAGGTTTTGGAACTTCATTATCATTTTCAATCACAATTGCTTGCTCGTCAGTTATTTGCAGTTTCTGAGGTGTGAACAAAGAACTGAGGCCACCAATCTGGGATTCATCTGCTAATTTACCCGGCTGAATTGATTGTCCATCTTGCTTGTCAGCTTTTGAATAATCGGAAGACTCATTCTCGGACTTGACAGTTTCTATAACTTGCTCATTAGAACTTGTTTCTGTTTTTTTATTTGTAGGCCTAGTATTCAAAGTACGTAAAGGAGGTGCCGGTAATTTGTACCATTTAAAATCAGGATTTGCATTCAAGAATGCATCTTTGTACTGAAAAATAATTAAACTAGTATTACTTTACTTGAATCCAATCACCAAATGTCATGCACTCAATAAAATTGAACAAATACATTCGATTCTTATCAACAATTTAGACAACATTCGAATACCTTATAGACTTTCAAGGTTTCATTTTGTAAATGATTTACCTCCTGTGCTAAATTTGTATATGAACTTTTTTGATCTGGATGAAGGGTGGCCCACCATTCCCCAAGAACCCTTGTGACTGCTCGATTTTCTAAATGTGGGAAACCAGACCGCACTGAACCACGATGTCGTTTACAAAAAATAAGAAATGCATTCATAGGTCTTCTTGCATGGTGGGCTGGTTCTCCTAATTCCCGTGGCTCCTAATTATTCAATCCAATTTCATTAAATATATACACAAACATAAACACTTATTAATAATGATATTTGAATAAAATAATTATTTTTGTTTAAATCCAAAATATTACATAAATCAATAACCACATAGTATTACTGTATGTTTAGAATTTCCATACCATGTGTGTATATATATATATAACATTTCATGGTCAATTATTTATTTTATTACCTATAAGAATGTGACACAGTCAAATAATAGTACAGAAATAAATATATTTTTGTAATCTTTACATCACAACAATTTCAGTCATGTTATAGCACTTGTGAAGCCTCAAAATCAGATACCTTGACAGTTTCTAAGGTCACATATACTTATGTAGAAGTTCAATATATAATGATAATCCATTGAAACTTATTATTTGTATCAAATATAATTTTTAAAAATGACTTTCTTATTACTGTAGTGTCACCAACAATTACACACTTTTTTCTTAGAAATTGCACTAGAATATTTTATAAATTTTTTCCCATATTGTTGTTATAGGGCATTTATCAACTGTGACTCATATACTGCTTTCAGCAATAAATAACATATGTTTCTTTAATTATTGTTTCTTCCAATATATGGAAACAAAAGTTATGTAAATATTTTGCCGTTTTCTACGAGGTATATTTTATAAAAAAAAATAATATACAATAATTTCCTCAAAATACTTTATTGCAATGTACATGATAAAATGATATAAGTTCCTTAAAATATCTCTTGGCCTATCTGCCATTCTATTCACCTCCATGCTTAATTAAATGTTATTCAAGTAATCGCGAAATGTAAACGTGAATCAACGAATGAACACAACAAGAGATCGTTGTACATATATATGTAATACACATAATACGTGTGTACATAAGGAGAAAATAAAAGAAAAATATTAGTTTCGGTCGAGAACAGCCTTTTTGTTAGACATCGTTATCATTTTCATGTTTTCACCTTTCTGATAAGTAAACTTCATTGTGAAATATGGCGTGTAGTAAAAGCATTAATTTGTATTCCGTGCATTATTATGAAATCGAATGTAAATTGCAGCATCATCTATAAATCGTTGGAAGAATGGTATTTAACAGCGCTACGTGACGTCCATGAAAATGCACGAACGATTTTTCCAAAAAAAGACCGTTCCGCGATAAATCCGTGGAAAATCGTGTCTATTTATGGTGTAACGAGGAGAACGATTTACAAATGCTCGATTTGGTAAAAATTCAATCTCGGGAGAATGTTGCATTTCCCCCGTATTCTCGAAATATCTTTCGCTTCGATCGACAGCGACGCGATAGTAGGTAATTAAAAATTTGTTAAAGAATGACCAGTCCGATCTTGACGAAGAAAAAAATAAAAATTTTACAGATATAATGTCGTCATAGCAGGCATATGTTAATTTTCGTATTGTGTCTAATTACCTCGAGCGCACAAAGTCCAGATTATGTCAACTAATCATCTTATTATTTTATTTTTTTTTTTCTATAAATTCCGAATTATCTCGCGAGGAAATCGTCGATCTAGAATATTGACGAAGAAAATAATGGAGGAAGCATTATCAAAATTGTCAGGGTACGTCGCCTGTCATACGTAGCAACTTTCGTTAACGTTACTGTACGTTGACTGACAAAGTCGCGCGATCGCTGTCAGATTTTGTACGAACTTCTAATAATTTTGACAAAAATGATGGAACATTTTCTGCGAACTGATCGTCGAGGAGAACCGTGCGTTACGTATGTTTTGCATGATTTCATGACACCTTTCCGATCGCCTACTGACAGCTGCTCGTACGAATGTAAATACTGCACACAGCAATCTATATGTCTTTCTATGCATCGATGATCTGGCAAATATTTGAATGAAGTGGAACGTATCGTTGAAGAATTCCTGTCCGCGTAAGACTCGAGTTGTTTTTCGTACACTCTATTCCACGATCCCCCGCGCTGTCAAATATTTATCAACTCAGAACCAACGTTCGGCAATCGTTGTTTCTTTTAGTATGACTGTCCCCAAGACGTCGTACAGATCCCGTTCTTTCATTCGAAATCGTCGCAAACAAATTTCGCGTTCGACCGTTCCGACCGAAAAAATTGCCTCCGGACGATATTACGGATCGGACGGATCATTGGAACGTACCGTAATGTCATTCGGAATTCGAGAAAAATACAATGTATTTCTCCCTACTCACCTTGCGTTGTTGCTCGTTGGCAGCCATTTCTGATTTCACTTGACAATTCACTCAGCGGCTCCTCTACGTTTCGCTTTCTTTCTCTGGCTCTTTTCCGTGCACAAATTAACCTCTCCTTCTTACGTACTATTTCTATCTTTCTCTCGACCCGACGCGTTCATCCACGGTTGTTTCGTGCAGCCCACGTGAAAGAAAATTCTCGTGTAAACCCCTCGCGATCTTTTCATTCGTTCTCGTTTGATGGTCAATTTTGAAGGACCTGCGGGATACGTCGCTCTGAAATCGCTCGAGCAATGCTATTCTGACAATTTTCCGTTTGCAACTAAACGTTTCCCGTGCAAACGTCACGGATCTACAAACGTCACTATCATACCAGTCACGCGACTGTTTTCACTGTGAGAAAATTAACTTATGACAACCGACGAATCATATGCTTCTTCATCAATCTTGTATTAATTTTAGATCTGTTCCACGGGCATTGAATTCTTTATTCATCTTACATGAATTCACATATGTATTGGAAACAGTAATGCGTTAATGTCGTATGAATTTTCATCATTGTATGCGAGAACTGTTTAAAAAAGTGCAATGTTCGCGCGTGCAATAGCATTACAGTGTCAGCAATCTTAGTGTACAAAAATTACTGAAATAAATTGTGTATTCGCCCCAAATATTCTGTAAATGTAGTGGGGTAGAAGCCACTTCATGTATTTAGAATAAAATAAGTGTAGCAAGCAAGCTGTAGCAAATTTTTTTGAGGTTTTTGTTTTGTGTCGTTTATTCAGTTATGCCTATCGTAAATATATAAAATTCGGAGTCTAGTAATAAAAATATTGGAAATGCAGTCATCAATGACATGTAAAGGCTGCTTACCATAAAGTAACGACAAGAATAGGAATATAGGTTAGTTGAACTTAACCTATCGATTTTTATTTACTATAAAGTACCCTGAAGCGTTCTAACAATTGAAGAAATGTAGTATATGCAATGTAAAAAAACAATAACATTATGATAATTTATTACAACTATCCATTACTTCACCGCCAAAAATGTGGAAGTTAAGGTTGTACTGCAGAACACTTATGAACTGTTTTGTATTTGCTAAGTAATTTTTATTTATTTTATTTACTTCAGCGGCTTACATATTTAAAGAAGTGTAACTAATTCAAACACCATGGAGAAGTCTCAGAAAATGCCAAAAGTTGCTAAGGTATTTAATCTTTCCTTTTCAAATGTATATTCATATATTTCAACATAGTAAAATGATTTTGTAACATGGAATTATTAAAATTGTTGCAGGTTAAGAATAAAGCGCCTGCTGAAATTCAAATAACAGCAGAACAGCTTTTGCGGGAGGCTAAAGAAAGAGATCTTGAGATTTTACCTCCGGTAACTATTATTGTTGATCTTTAATATTTTATGAAGAAGTAAAATACTAAAAGAATAATTTATAATGAATCTATTAATATGTTTCTCTAGCCACCAAAACAAAAAATTTCTGATCCTCATGAATTAGCTGATTATCAACATCGTAAGCGCAAAGCTTTTGAAGACAATATCCGCAAGAATCGTATGGTAATCTCAAATTGGATAAAGTATGCTCAGTGGGAAGAAAGTCAGAAGCAGATACAAAGGGCACGGTATGATATATACAGTTCATTGTTACTTTTGAATAGAAATTGCTGACGTAGATTATTTGAAAACTGTGTATTTAACTTTTAGCTCTATCTATGAGCGAGCATTAGATGTAGATCACAGAAACATTACATTATGGCTGAAGTACACAGAGATGGAAATGCGAAATCGTCAAGTAAACCATGCCAGAAATTTATGGGACCGTGCAGTTACTATATTGCCTAGAGCAAATCAATTCTGGTATAAATATACTTATATGGAAGAAATGTTAGAAAATATTGCCGGTAAAGTTGCAGTTTCATCGATCGTTTGATGTTTTGTGTAAGAAGTTATTAACATGTAGATGTATTTAGGTGCACGTCAAGTATTCGAAAGGTGGATGGAATGGGAACCTGATGAACAGGCTTGGCAAACGTACATTAAGTTCGAATTGAGGTACAAAGAAATACAAAGAGCCAGACAAATTTATGAGACATTTGTGATGGTTCACCCCGATGTTAAACATTGGATAAAGTATGCACGGTTTGAGGAATCGCACGGATTCATAAATGGAGCTCGTAGTGTTTATGAGAGAGCTATTAACTTCTACGGTGATGAAAGTTTGGATGAAAAGTTGTTTATTGCATTTGCGAAATTTGAAGAAGGACAAAGAGAGGTAAATCGATATTAATACTAGATTTATGAACATTTCTTATATACCTATCTCTACGAACACGCGTCAACGAAACCGCACATTTTCTTTAAAAAAACAATTTATTGTATTTAATACTAAATTTATGATCGCGTCAAATTGACGCGTGCCCGTAGAAATGGGTATACTACATAGAGAATTTCGAGATTAGAAGGTATTCGAAATGCGTCAAAATGACACGTCCCGTAAACCTAGTGTTAAGTAATTCCATTTCAAGGTAAAATATTCTAAACATGTTTTCTTGTAGCATGATCGAGCCAGAGTAATTTACAAATATGCATTGGATCATATTCCAAAAGAGAAGACACAAGAAATTTATAAAGCATATACCATACATGAAAAGAAATATGGAGATCGCTCAGGTACTACGTTTTATTATGATAATAAACTGTTGTAACTAATTTTCTATATATTGCATTCTTTTCTGTTATAGGTATTGAGGATGTAATTGTCAGCAAAAGGAAGTATCAATATGAGCAAGAAGTAAACGAAAATCCTTCGAATTATGATGCTTGGTTTGACTACTTGAGATTAGTGGAGTCTGAAGGAAATGTAGATATTATCAGAGAAACTTACGAACGGGCTATAGCTAATGTACCTCCGACCAAAGTAAGAGATGACACATTTTATGTAATTTTATATTTCACATTGAAATGGCTAATATAAGTTTACCATACTTCCATGTTACAGGAAAAACAGTTTTGGAGAAGATACATTTATCTTTGGATAAACTATGCTCTTTTTGAAGAACTCGATACTGAAGATATAGAAAGATGTCGACAGGTCTACAGGTAATTAATACTTTTTTTCAAAAACTGTAACAGCGATTTATAAATCAATATTTTTTCAGGGCATGTTTAGAGTTAATACCTCATAAACATTTCACTTTTTCAAAAATTTGGCTGCTCTATGCGTATTTCGAGATAAGACAAAAAAATTTAACAGCGGCTAGAAAAACGTTGGTATGTATTTAACTTTTAAAACTTGACAGAATATATACTTCTGCATTTTGTACAATTCACCTGCAATTTTAAAACATTTATTTATTTTATTTGAAACTGTTTTAGGGTATGGCATTAGGTATTTCTTCTAGAGACAAATTATACCGTGGATACATCGACTTAGAAATACAATTGAGAGAATTCGATAGATGTAGAATTTTATACCAAAAGTTTCTCGAATTTGGTCCAGAGAATTGCACTACATGGATGAAAGTATGCGAAACAAAGTTTTACTAATCACTTGTCTTAATTTTTTTTTTAATTATCGAGTACTTATTGAAATTTGTTTCAAACAGTTTGCAGAGTTGGAAACACTTTTAGGTGATGTAGAGCGTGCTAGAGCTATTTACGAATTAGCTATATCGCAGCCTAGGTAAAATGTTTAAAAGTAACTATAGTGAACAGTATTTAATTTGTAGTTTTTATTAAAATTGTACATTCCTATTTTTAATGTGTAGATTGGACATGCCGGAACTTCTATGGAAGTCCTATATTGATTTTGAAATAGCGCAGGATGAAACAGAAAATGCAAGACAATTATTTGAAAGATTGATAGAACGTACGCTTCACGTGAAGGTAAGTTTGACAATGGCACTGAAACATGAATTATGTAATCGTAATATTTTTCTTTTTTTTTACACTATCATTGAATACGACATATTATTCAGGTCTGGATCGCGTATGCCAAATTTGAATTATATCAAGTGGTGATAAAGAAAGCAGAGCGCTGCTTTTAGAAGCATGGAGAGATTTTGAAAATGAAAAAGGAGATGACGAAACTCGCACTAAAATTATGGAGAAAATGCCTCGAAGAATTAAACGTAGAAGACGCATCGTGGGAGAAGATGGGGTAAATAAAGCTACTGTTCTTGTTTCTGTATTCTTCCAAGGAAACAGTAAGACATTGTTCTTTCATTTTTAGAGTGACGATGGTTGGGAAGAAGTGTTCGACTTTGTTTTCCCCGAAGACGAGTCCCAGAGGCCCAATCTTAAATTCTTGGCGTCTGCAAAAGCCTGGATGAAACAAAAAGAACTTAACGACAAAACTGAAACTAATCCAGGCATGAATACTTCTCAATCGGAATCTAACAGTTAGAGTGTAACTGTATCTTTCAATGTAAAGGTTTCCTATTGCTTCTGTATATATAAGTTAATATTCTATTTTTACACATGTGAATAAATGAACACGTTTTTTGAACTTTAAAAAAAATGTATATTTAGAAAATTCCATAGTATAACCAGCATTTATGATACCACATTCGTTTTGTTAGACATAATATTTGTACTTGGAACTTTTACGTATCAATAATGAAACGAATCGCGGTGTAATAAACGATAAACAACTACATAATTAAAATATGGAAGTTAACGATATTTAATAACTCTGTTATTACATGTTTTCAATGCTCTCGCTGAATGCTGATGTACACTTTTATAGTCTACTATGAAAATGTAAATTTAAACTGCAAATTCTATTCATCGAACTTTCCGTCGATCACTGCCAAGCACAGTGTATGTATAAGTGAAAAGTATTTTTTTTGGCAGTCAGCGTTTTACGCGTTTGTAACCACAAAGGGCAAATTTCTTAAAATAACTGAATATCAACAACAAACGAATTAGTTTCTTTTTACAACTGTATAAGGTACTAAAAAAATAATCAAATAAAGAATGTACAAAAAAAATAAATATTTCTGATTGCAACAATTTAAAATGTTGTTTGTGAAAAGAAGAATAAATGAAAATGTTGTATTATAAAAAAAAAGTGTATTATTTCTTTAAACAATACTTTTTTGTACTTGTTAGAATACAGTAAACCGGAATATCATTTGATAGTTATCCATTCTTTTAATTTACCTGTTGCTTGTCATACTTATTTATTTGTCTTTGTAGAATATTTCTTTTTTCATCACTTTCAAAACCAGAATCTAGATCATCGCTTAAACACTTTTTTAATGTATAGCTTTTAGAATCTTGTCGCGAATTGGTTTGCTCGACTAACAATTTCCTAATGCATTCTAGTAACTGTTCAAAGAAGTTTGGATAACCAACGTATCCCGGAAATACGTTTACATCTATAATCGCATATTTTCCAGTATGATTTTCGATAACAACATCAACACCAAATAAACGTAGTCCGAAAAGTTCTGTGATGTTTTTGACAATCTTCTCTAATGTTTCATGTTCCGGTTTTACTGTTAATGGAATGTCTGCTTCCGATAAGATGGACCATTTCGATTCAGAACCACTCTTAAATATATTCATCGAGTTGAAAAATATTGTGTTTAACGAAGTACAGTCTTCTTCATAAAAATTCTTGAAACTTGGTCTCTCCTCTACATGAAAATGTTCGCCAACTACATATATTTTGTAAACAATTGCATTATGATTGATAAACTCTTGTGCCACGCAAGGTGGCTGACAATCACTCAAGCCCTGTTCATTGAAAATTATCATCATCTGAAAATTGAAAGTAAAATTACATGTATTTGTATACAAATACACTTCCCCAGATAGAATAAAATCCTTACTTTATGCGCGTCACTGAAACCCTGAGCAAGAACTGGTTTGCAGAGTAATGGGAACTTAATATTTGCCCTGTTTAACAGAGATATATTCTCAACAGTACTTTTACTCGTAATTTCTACAAATTTTGGAGTAAATACATCTAAAAATTAAGGCTCAGAATTAGTTGCTACGATTCACACCTATATTGTAAAATTATATGAAGTGACGTAATTTTTTAATTACCATTAAGTTGTACATGTTCTTTTATGAGTTCATAGTATTTATAACGATCTATTAAAATCTTAATATTGTCCAAAGGGTCAATAACTATTATTTCAGGATGCTGGCAGAAGTACTCTTCTATTTTTGAAATAACTGTTTTGGCCTGTTACAGAAATAAATTATTAGAAGAGCTCGAATTACAACGAAACTAAAGAATTTTATCATACATTTTGATCACCATGTTCTGCATGCGCTAGATTATGCGTCAGTTTATGTATAAAAACATGAAATGGTCCCTGAGATTCAAGATCAGTGTTTACATCAATCTGAAACCAAAGAATTCCTTTTAGGATACGTTATTAGGAAAAAGAACAAAATAGAAGTATGTATACATAACCTTGGACTACCACGATAGTTTGTATGCCATAATTATTCGATAATAATAAGAAAACCGTAGTAAATCTACTTACCATCTTTAACTGAAAACCTTCGGATTCACAGAGATTATAAAAATCATTCCAATTGAACTTCTGTCGTTTCTTTTCGGATATCCAATAACCGATGACATGCTTGTCGCACATTTTATTTTCTATTTACTGTTTCCTCACGCCGAATAAAATGCTTATCCATTAAAACGTATACAATACATTATTTTACCAGTCGCGTTATATGAACGGTACTTTATTAATCGTGTTGTCTACAAGAGTCCTATGTATTGAATAATTTCATATTTTCGCCGAAACATGAGGTTATGTTTGTGACATTTCAAAAAAATCCATCTGTCACCGCGCTATTACGCTCTGTGAATCATTAAGCTTTTAGCGCCCAGTTTTTACAACGTATATTCATTCTTCTATATTTAAATGGAACGCACAGACATCACACACGTGATTTTCGTGGATGTAACGCGATAAACGATCATAGGTTAGCGAGATAACAGTGTCGGTCACATGTTATACATGACTTTATTACGATATTCTTGTTTAATTACACACGGGTTCGTGGCAATCTAGTGTATTACATAATCCATTGAAATTAGATTTTTATTTACAATGATCCGGTGTTGCTGTTAAGCATTTCTTTTTCTATTCATCTGGAAGCACGAATACATGTTACAGACTACGTCACCGACGTTGCATTTTTGGTTGCAATATTACGACGTATTCCATATTGGCGTATCCTAGATAGCGGGTTTTTCATCAAATCAGCAACTCTAAATTTCCCCCATACTTTGTACTAACGACTGGAAATATAAAAAGTGCAATTAACATATATAATTGGTACGAATACATTATGCGCTTATAAAATACAGGAATGTTAAAAATAGTAGCTTGGTAAAGTTTAAGGGGCTGTACTTATGTACATATCTGTGTAGAAAAGTGGAGAATATATCATTTTCTTTTTATTTCCATACCTATATTCGAAAAGTTTCAAGCTTCAACAATATATCATGAAAATTTTAAGCTCGATAAATCACAAAATAACCTTAGTTCCACAGTTTAGAAGTGGATGAAGGTGAAGTGTTCGAACTACAATACAAAATTTCAAACGTGCCTTTCCCAACGTACAATTTTCCAAGATGGCGGACATTACATTTTGCGAAATAATTGATAGATTTATGTACTTGAAATCCGCGAAGGATACATTCAGTATCATTATAGGGTCTCTGGTGATCACGCTTGTTCAAATTTCAATTCTAATATTTCAATTATTTACAAGATTTAATCTTCAATTATTACAATTTTTCAACGAATACCTAAACGTTTTCATAAAAATCCCATGTTTATTTGAATGGTCGCCATTTCGTTGGAAAAAGCAATATTACAATTTCGGCAAGATGTAAAAAAATGATGATTCTCCTGACTTTTATACAGTTGCACGCAACTCACAACTCCAGAGAGTCTGCAGTTTATTAATTATACATATTTTGGTAGTAATATTACATTAATTTCTAGATAGCACAAGACGCCTTGAAGACGCCCATTTTACGGCTATTTTAGGTCTAAGGCGCCTTTAAGCTGTCTTCAAGGCGTCATTGGGCGTCATGTGCTATCTGGATTAGAGATCGTGATAAATAAATGATAATAATAATCACATCGTTGGAACAGTTATACTCACTTTCGACGACTCGTTCCAGGAAGCCAGCATCTCTTTCGTAATGAAAACTGTAATGCTACTGTCGCATTCCTCTGTGCCGAGCACTTTAACTTCACCGAGAGAGTAGGAACTGGAGCTTGGCACGCAGAGTTCACCCTCGGAACGGGATGTATTCGATGATGTTTCTGTCTGCAAAAATTACGAAAATGCGAAGCAATATAAAGAATTTTTCACGCGAAACTGATTGGGGTAGATTCAGAAGAGACGTCACGATCATTATAAGACAATGATCGAAATGCAATATTAAAATACAATTATAATATTAAACTATAAATATAATATTGCGTAAAGTGTTGGGAAAATTATTTTCCTACCACCAAGAAAACTGACTGGATCAAATGCCAAAAATGGTTCCACAAACCCTGCACAATGTATGCCCTACGATGCAACAACTGCGGGAGAGAAAATATGAGAGAAAAAAAATATAAGAAAGAGAAGTTTGTGTATGTGAGATCTCATCTCGTGGATATGGCATCTCTCTTACACGATATGGGAGAGACGCCACTGTAGCAATCTTTCGTTTTTTAAAATTTTGATTAATTTTACATGAGAAAAGTTTAAAATTGTTTGTATTATTTTTTCGTAGTACACGAGTGTATTATTGCAATAATAATAATATCGTATCAATTAGTACAAAACCAAAAAAGTTACAAACTCCTCTTGATTATCGTCTGGCTTGTTCTACACGATTATTGTCCAAGCTTATACTTTATTGCCCCTTTGCTTTTGTTGCCCAGGCTCGGTCTTCGGGCAAAAAACGAATTTATGAGGGTTTGAAGCATTTCTCCCTATAAGATGATTGTTCCAGAGTGGACCCGAGTTCGGAATAATAATCGAGAGGTGTCTGTATTGGCCCACAACCGAAAAGGGAGGCGTCTCTCCTGAATTTACCCTATGTTTCAACAAAACGGTCGTCGAAGCTATTCCCGTATTTCTTATTTCGTATAACATTTTGTCTTTTTCAAGACGTTCGATTGTTCGACTAATGTTTTGGTAACATTAATTTCATAGAAATTCTGCATCGATAATCGCGGTGAAAAATATTCGACTAGCAGCACTTGATCGCTTACTTTGTTCGATTCTGTCGCTGGTACACTTCTGGATGATCTGCAATAAAACGAACTTACATGTAGTAAACGTATCAATAATTAAAGGCAAACGAAAATTGTCGATTTCAATTAAAATTTATATAGGGTAAACGCACGAATAAATGAACACTTAAGAGATTTTCTAACTATTATAGTTGAATCTTATATGATAATAATATTAATAAACATTCGACACATGAAAATTACATTTTTTAATATTTGTAGTCCTTTGTGACGTATAAATCTATATCAATTTGAAAAATTGGAAAAGGTGTAATTTATTTCTAATAATAATAACATTTATAACCAATGCAACGACGCGAAAATTGTTTGAATATGAAACAAGGAATTGAAAACGATTAATATTTAATCATTCACTTGTTTTAATAGGTTAATTTACTCGTTTCTATATATAATTTTCATTCCATGGTGCACGTTCATTTACTGGTGCATCCACCCTGTAAACTGTATAACATTTTCGTACCGAAAATTTTGTTCGATCGCACTCGAACGATTCGTGTCGAGCGTGGATCGCAAAAGTTGTTCGCGTATATCGTCGTACAGGTCCGACAGAAATTTTTCTTTCGCGAACGTGCCACAATACGCGCCTCTACGGCCTGTGACTCCGTTCGAGATACCATCGATCGTGTTATTCGTTTCGGGAACTCGTTCATTCGTGTCGGTTCCGCGAAACGGTTCCGCCATCTTTGATTCTTTCGGCAGGTGTCTCGGAGAGGACTGAATGGACACGCAATCGTGCAAGGAATCGCAAGATGAATTTCTTCCGACGTTATCATTAAATTCCACGGGGACATTATTCTGGTCCAAATCTGATCCAACAGATTTCTTGTTTTTCGCTTCTGACGTTAATTTACACGGAACCAAAACATTCAAGGCCTCTTTTCGCTGCGTACTTCCGGTGTCTTCATTCTTCCCCGATGATTTATCCACAGCACCAACATTCTCATCTGTATTTACCGACACGCTGTTCCGCTGATCATTGCCACTTTTATCTTCGTCCTCCATTTTCTCATTAACAATGCTTAAAACTTTTCTCGTGGTCGCAACATCGTTTCCTTTTCGTTTCGAACATTCCAAATTTTCTCCACTATTATCAATATCTCTGTTCAAGTCACTGTTACCACTCCCATAAGAGATATCATTCAACGATTCGACGTCGGAATGAATTTTACTGACCTCGTCGATCGTTAAATTTTCATGGTTCGAGCGTGACGCGGTTCGTTTGGTGCAGGACGATTCGCTTTGGACATCGTCCACGGGATCGATCTTGGGATTCTTGTTACCGTCCGTTTCGCCGTTCGTTTCGATCGCTTTGCCATTATTCCGAAATGTATCAGCTCGCAACACTGATCTCGACTGTTGTTTCTCTTCATTGTCCGTCACTCGAGCGGTCTCGATCGCGTCAACATTCGATGCGACATTGTTCACCGATCCGTTCTCCGTGATCAATAATTCCAAATTCTGTGGCGAATTGCCGTTTCGTATGTTCCCCAATAAGCCTTTCAGCAATAAAGGCACGATCCGATCGACGCCAAGAGCATTCTTGATCCCGTCCTCTATCGCCCTGGTCTCCTCTTTGAGGACACGGTGAATCAAACGCTCAGTAATCCTCGTTCTGTCCATCGATCCCTCCTTTACAACATCGAGAAACGGAACGTCACGGAACGCTGTACAGTCGAAATTGTCCATTTGCGTCCCATCGTCCTGTATGGATGCCATATTGGTTCTTCGATCCGCAGATAATTCGGGAAAATTGTCCAGCGAAATTTTCGAAATTGCCTCCGTATTATTTTCCGTGCTCGAGGGATTCATCGAGGAGGCCAAGCTCGAGCTGTCGTCCGTTGCGCGGAAACGGTTCGAATCTTCGATCTCTGTCGATAACATTCTCGAATTACCGACCGAGAATCGTTTCGCAACAGTGGAATCAGTTTGTAACGGAGCTCTACGGGGATTCTTCGAGAGGGCAGACATTTTTCTCGATTGGTTATCCGCCTTGTTACATCGAGCCTTTTTCAACGATGTCGGTTCGGTGATTTTTGGCTGAGGCTTACGACACTTGTGTTCTTTATTCGATTGTTTATTCCTCGTGGGTTGTCGATCCTTCGTCGAGTTCATTAATTCGACTTTTTGTTTGTCGTGCAAATATTTCAAGGAATCTGGCTTCGTTATTCCCGGTTCTCGACGATTCAACGCCGCCATCTTGAACGACTCGCTGCTCTCCGTGGTCACGTGGTTCGTTAAGAATTCCTCGAGTTCCGGCCGCAACAGGTATTTCTCGATCGTTCGCGTCGTTCGTGACGCATCGTCAATCGCTTTATTATAAGCCAGCAAAACGTTGTCCAATCGATCGATGGAAGGACAATAGAGATCGTCCAGATCCCCTGAATCATCTGAACATGCCGCGGATGAATCAACGCTCGAGGAAACAAGATGGCCGCCATTCTCCGCCGCGCTTTCATTTTCACTGCAATACTTGCGAAGCAGATCGGCGAACTGTTCGTCGACGATCTTGCAATGTTCGTCCTCGCGTTTCTCGTTTTTTATATGTTTATTTTTCCTCTGTATCGTTCCGTTCGGTTCACAGAACGACGAACAATCACGGAACAGATCGAGCCTCCTCGAAGTCG